TCCCACCAGTTTACCCCCAGTCTGTCCTCAGGCCTGTAGCATTTGTGTTCATACGCCTATATATACCTAAGCTGTACTTTTCTATATCCAAGTGTAGATATAAATTGTGAAATTGGGTGTAGACAGTTCGTGGCTAGAGGCAAAGTGTAAATTGTCCCACTTGTTCCTTTGTATACTTTGGAGCAAAGCTTTTGCATGGTAACTCCTCTCAGAGTGGATACCACCCTCTTGATCTGATTGCTTCCAGCATCCGTTGGGCATCAAATGCCAGGATTCTTCATCATCATTCTCAGTCCTGTGTCCAGCTTTTGTGCCCAGGTGAGGGTCGTGGGGGCATCTATAAGTAGGTGAGGAAGCCAGGTGTTTTATTACATCTGAGAAACGCTCCTGTCTTTGTTCTCTTACTGGGACTTCCTGCACACACACCACCCCCAGCCCAGTTTACCTGAGGATGCCCCGGGTTCTGGAGCACAGGTGAGGACAGGTGGAGGTTCCTGGCAGGCCAGAAGCTTGCAGGAACACATTTTAGCCTGTAGCATCTTCAAGGTATATGCATCTTAGGTGGCACTGGAGGTTCTGCAGGGGTGTGACTGTCAAGAGTTATAGGCTGTTGGGTATTAGAGGGCTCAGAGTTTCTTCAGTCTGGTCCCTTTGGAGAGAGTGAGCACCTAGCTTGAGGGTCCATAGAGTGTCAGATCACAGGTCTTCTGACTCCCAGTGTGAAAGGGAGGGATGGGCCTATGAGTGAGCATGGGGGTAGTGGCTAGAGGCAAAAGGAAGGTGCATCAACGGTGGTTCACTTATGGGGGTTGGTGGAGAAAGGCAGCCATTGATCTGACTGCCCTACTCCCTGTATGGTTGGTCATTCCAGGCCTGATTCAGGAGCTTTTGGCAGTCCCTGACCTGTGGCCCATGGCTTGCTGTGCCCCTTGTTCCTCTTTCTGACAGCATCCCCAAGAAGTGGCTTCCTCCCTTCTGCTGCCCTGTCTCCTCTCTGCCTCTGGGAAGGGGGCCCTATCTATGGTTGCCCTGTCTTTGGTCATTATTGTTTAGTGGGAGATAATTGGTGGGGCCCACTCTGCTATTTTAGAAAGTCCTGGCAGGTATTTTCTCTCTCACCATGTCAGTCAACTAGCAAATATTTGTTGAGCACTTATTCTGTGCCAGGCACCATGCTGGATGCAGTAGCAGAGAGAGAGGAAATATGAGTAGGATCCCTGCTCTCAAGAAATATAATCTTGGGGTAGAGCTGGGGGAAGAAGGGCCAGGTCAGAGGGTGTGAACTATCAGAGCACTATGGGGTGTGTATGCATCAAGGTCACCTCCAGGAGCTCCGTAGCTCTAACCTGGAGCAGGTCTTGGAGGGTGGGTAAGGGGAGGTGGGTGTTGAGGAGGAGGAGAGGGCCAGCTGAGAGTAAGGTGCCAGGAAAGCTCAGGTGTGTGGGTGGGAAGGGGTGGTGGTGAAAAAGTTGGAGACAACACACAGGACCCACCCTTGCCAAGGATGGGTGGGTTGTTCCTGACCTTAGACGAGGAGTCATCCTGAGTGTTGATTTGAGTTTGGTGGACTTGGGCAACAGGTTGAGGGACGAACTGCAGTGGGATGGTGCTTAACCACATACTTGGTCCTAGGCTCTGCTTGGCCAGTAACACAACTAGACCTTGGACAAGTAACCTGCCCTCTTAGTACCTACCAGTCAGTGGAGGTGGCTTCAGGAACATTCTCCACATCTAATTCTAGACTAAGCACTGGCATTTGACTCCTTTCCTGCTCCCAGAAGGAGGCACTATTGCAGGGGCTGTGTCTGTTCGTCTTCTCCAACCTAGGGGCACCCCCTTTCAAGCCATCCTGGGGACTTTTGGGAGTACTGATGGTCTGGGAAGGGTTTCCAATACTTGCTAGATATGGACCCTCTTGCCTCATTCTCCTGCCTAATGGCATGGGCTGAGGAGACTGGGACTGAGAACTGGGGAGCCCTTTGCTGCCCACCCCACCCCCACCGGCTGGCCGCCAGCCTGGCTCCCAGAGCTGGGCGGGTGCATAGCTGGAGCTCAGTCGTGCGCGTCCTGATAAGGAGACTGCTCCTTCCAGGGCTCTGGGGGAGAGGGCTGGGGCACTGGGGCAGACAGACAGCTAGAGAGTACACTGGAACACCCAGCAGGCCAACTGAGGGATACCTACCTGGCACCAGTCTCCTCAGTGCCCCCTCACCCCCACAGGGATCCTCAGTGACTGGAAGCCCCTTTCTGGGCAGTGCAGACTCTTGCTGCTCAGAGCAAACCCTGTTCCATCCATAACTTGATTTGGGGCATTGGAGCCAGTTCCCTTCTTTGGGCGTCGTCCCATCTGTAAAGTGGTAAGGGTGGACAGAATCCCTGACGTCTGACTGGCAGATTTCAGGTGATACTGGCCTACCTCCCCTGTCCTGCCCTCTCCCCCCATGGCTTGACTCAGAAAGTGGGTTTTCCCCTGTGCCCAGCTCTGCCCACCCTCACCCCCACTCCCTCCCGTGGGAGTCAGGCCCTAGCACTCCCTCCCTCTTGTGTGTCTTTCGTGTGCCTTTCCGTCCAGGGAAAAGCCAGTTCACTGAGCTCTGCCTATGTGGACGGAAATGTGGAGAAATACTTTAATCACAGTTCTAACCTGTGTTTATAGAGCTCCTTTCTCCTGAAAGTATCCATTAACTTTGGAATAAATCTCCTGCTCTTTGCTTCACCACTTTTTTTTTTTCTGTAATTATATTCAGTAAATTACTATTATCCAAATTGCGCCAGGGAAAGAGAGACAGAGTGAGAGAGAGAACTTCTAAACGACTGTAGGAGGCCGCCTAGGAAAACACAGGGTTCCCAGGCCAGGACTATAGGAATTAGAATGGGCTAGAAAGTTTTCCTTTTATTTGGCCTGGCATTATCCCTTTGAAATGAGATCAATTTCAAGTTGGGCTTCCAAGCCCCCACCCCGCCCCTCTAGCCTGCCGGCCCTGCTCCTCCGAGCTCCTCCTTGGAGGTGAGGAAGGGGTGATAATGTGCAGTTTGCCTCTTGCTGGCGCCAGCCGGCCGCGCTGTTTATCTGGCTGCCGGGGGAATCTGGGCAATTAGGCTCAGCCGGCCTTAAAGTGCCAGGAGCTCCTTTTTTGTGTCTCCCACCCTGGGGCTTGGGGTTGAGCCTAAAGCTTCTGGGGGAGGAGAGGACGGGCGCCCGGGAGGCCACCTCCCCACCCACAGCTACTCCTTGGCAGGGTGGAAACTAGGAGGCCCAGGAAGGCCAATGGAGCCTTTTCTAAGCAAGATGCTGGGCTGCAAGGATAGGGGTGGAAGGTAGTGTTCCAAACTAAAACTTAACCAGCCACTGAGAGAGACTGTGAACTCTCTTGGCTTTAGAATTAGATACTAAAAGGCCAGGTACTCTCCAGGGGCTAACCAGAGTTAGTCTGGGCTGAGCTGAGCTGAGCTGAGCTGAGCATTAGTCTTCTGGTACACTCAGCCCCTGGCTGACTGCTCTCTCACTTCTGGAGGAAGTTGGAGGAGATTCCTGAAGTTGATGCCTGAGGCTGGATGTCTGAGGGGACTGGAGTTTCTAATCTCTCTCCCTCTCCCCTCCTCCCCCTCTTCCTTTCTCCTTTTCTCTCTTCTATTCTCTTCCTCCCTCCCCCATGTTCATTTCTTCCATAGGGGTCTGCAGGACTCTAGAAGTTACTATTTTTAAATCAACACAGCTTTTGCAAGCACTAAGATAGCTTCTAAGAAGGGAGTGAACTGAGGACCTGGAGGCAGCTCACACTTTCTTATCTTACCTTTTGTCTTACACACCAAGTGTCCCACCTGAGTGCCCACATTGCTCACCTGATATAATGTCCTGGAGCTCCATTCTCCCGGATCAAGGGGGCTGGGATGTGTGGGAGTGTGGAGGTGCCAGTTAAAGGTTGGTTACCCAGTATTGTTCATTGCAGCATTATTCCTAATAACCCAAAAGTGGAAACAACCCAAATGTCCATTAGTTGCTGAATAAACAAAATGTGATCTATCCATACTATGGAATATCATTCAGCCATGGAAAAGAATGACATGCTCATACATGCTACAACATGGATGGACCTTGAAAACATTATGCTAAGTGAAAGAAGCCAGACACAAAGGTCATGTGTTACATGAATCCATTTGTGTGAAATCTCCAGAACAGGCAAATTCATAAAGAGAGAAAGTAGATTGATTGCGTAGCATTTGGGGTTTGGGGAAATGGGGGACAGGACTTCTTTGGGGGTGATGAAAATGTTCTATAAATAAATGGTGTTGGTCTCACAACTCTGAATATATTAAATACCACTAACATGTATACTTTAAAGGAGTGAATCTTAAGAATGTGTGAATGATAACTCAATTTTTCAAGAAAAGGTAACTTAATATTGATCCCCAACTGGCCTCCCTTTTGTTTAGTTGAAACAGAGTAACTTCTAGTTTCCTTTGTAACCTTGGACTGGTCCTTTACTTCGCTGGACCTCAGTTGTCCCATCAGTTAAAAGAAGTTGAGTTGGTGAATTCCAAGAAGTTGAGTTAGGCAAACCTCTGACATTTTGAATCCTCCTGCTGGGAGTGAAGTCTATAGGCCTTTATACTTTTACTTGCCTAGTGTGGAAGTTGGTGATTAGCTTCCAGTTCTCACAGTTGTTAAGCAGTTTTGTGCAAACCGTTTTGCTGGTGCAAATGGGGGCCTGGGAAAGTCTCTCCTGAGAGCTTTGCAGTTCCCTTTTAGCTGGTTTGTCTGACATTTCAAGTTTGTAGATTTGCTTTCTGTCTTACTCTTGTCATTAGAACCCTGCCAGTTCAGGTGTGGCCATGGGTGGTGGATATCACAATTCAAGGCCCAGGTGGCCCCTGCAAGAGACGCTGGGATTGATGACACCACTGCCCATTGCTGTGAAGTTTCACTTTTGGGGACAGATCTGGGGGGCAAGATCTGTCTGAAGCCTCCCACCTTGTGTGGCCTGGGCCTCAGCCAATCAGATTTTTGCCGAAGGAAGCCTAAAATAGTAATTACGATCCTTCTGATAAGTTAGGTAGTGGAAAGGGCACAAGGCAAGGGGTCAGGAGACCTGGCGTCTAGTTCTGGCTCTATAACCAGCTCCCTCTCTGGCCCTGAGGGAGTCACTTCCACTCCAGGCCTCAGTCTTCTCTGTACAGTATGAGTGCTGGCCTCAGTTCTCCTTCCCTGTGGAACTCTAGCACTACCTGTGTTTTGACAAATAGCTGGCCTCCTTGATTTCCTGTTAGGTCTCCCATGGATCACCCCTTTGGACCCTTAGGTCCTCTTTATGCACACTGGTCCTCTTAGTCCACTGATGCCCCCAACTTTACCATTATCCTCATCACTGTTGTCTTTGTCCACAGACACTTACTGAGCACTTTCTGTGCATATGATGTGACTTAGCTGGGATGAAGGGGTGGAAGATGGAGTGCCTTTAGATTGCCTGTCTCACTGGGGTGTAGAGCAGAGTCACGCCTGGGCTCAGATCCTAGTTCTACCACGATTGGCTGGGGGACACTGGGCAAGTCAGTTTTCTCATCTGTAAAATGGGAATAATATGTCTAAGAAAGGATGAAGTAAAAATAAGTGCCCAGTCAGCATACTTAATGTTAACATTGTGTGCCTAAGGTCTAAGAGAATAAAATACAATGAATGGAATTGAAAATGCTGGCATGGAGATAGACACAGGATAGATAGGCTTTCAGCAAATGTTTGCTTCTCTCCCAGTAGCTATTCCATGATTCACTTTTCCTTCTCCCTAAATACTCTCCACAAAAGATTCCGTTTTTAGACCTCGGAGCCTTCGCTTTGTTGAAATAATTTCTGGCTGGAAAAGCAAGGGTGGGGAAAAGCTGAAGCTGCATAGGGTGTATGGAGCAAAACAAATGCTCCTACAGCTAATTGTGCCTTATTATAATTATGAAAAACACTTATTACCCCTTGTGTCATTACTGATACCTGCCTAATAATAGTTATTACCACTTTACTACCACTGAGAGTTTGTTTTAGTTTGCGATTTGATGGTGTTTAGTTTCATTTAGGGAAAATGAAGGGTCATTTCATTCATGCAAATTGTTACTTAGTTTAGCAAATTGTTACTTCCCCTAAAGCAAGAGGCTAAGGAATTCTTCTGAAGACAAAGTATATGTTTTTAAAGAGGAGTATTTTAGGCAAATGAAAGGAAACCAAAAGAAAAATACCATAGACAGTAAGGAATCACACAGGGTCTGAGCTGGAAGGCCGTAGAGAGCTTGTGTCCCACCCCTTCTCTTTACAAAGGGGTGACTGAGGCCGAGGGCTGGCTGTGACTGGTTTAAGGTCTCCCATCTAGGTAGCTGGGTTTGGCTTCTTGGGTCCCAACCAGTGTTGCTCTCCTCCTTGCTCCAGAGAATGCTACTTCTAGTGCAGCTTGTTTGGAAATGAGCTTCTGTGTCTGAGTCTCTGTACTCACACTCAGTTCTGATTAGAGTTGCCAAATTTAGCAAATAAAAAGACAGAATGCCCAGTTAAGTTTGAATTTCAGGTAAACAACACATATCTTTTTAGTTTAAGTATGTCCCAAATATTGTGAGGGACATACTTATACCAAATGCTTACGCCACAGAAATCCAAAATTCAAATTTACCTGCACATCTGGTATTTTATCACGCAACCCTGGCTCTGGCTTTTCCCTGCACCTGCATTTCTCTTGTTATAATAATAGTAGTTAAGTGTTTGTGGAGGTACTTTTCCACAGTACCAAGAGGTGTACTAAGCGTTTTATATACATTATCTTCTTTCACCCTCCTGGCAAACCTGGGAATATTGTCATCCATTTTATGGCTGAGGAAGCAGGCTCAGAAAAGTGAAGTAACTTGCTGGAGGCCTCACAGCCAAAGGTGGTAGGGTAGCGGTTGATCCCAGGTCTGGACCCCAAGCCTGTGGCCTTACCATTGGGCAGTGATGTTCCAGTGGATTTGGGCAGCAAAGGTGATGGGAGAAAAGGAGGGTTTCCTGTGAGCGGGGCTTTTTTATTGGAGGAAATCAATAATCAAAAGCTTGTAGAAGAGCCCCCAGGTGTGAACTTTCCCACCCTGGCAGTGACATGCTGTCTCCTGTCTTCCAGAATCACCACCACCCCCCTACTCTCGGCTGTCTCCTCGTGACGAGTACAAGCCACTGGGTAAGTGTGTCCTCCTTCCAACCCTTGGGGAGGTGTGTCCATCCTGTGCTCCCCTTCATTCCAGCACCCAGCTTCAGTGCTGAAGGGCTGGAGGGGAGGGGGGAAAGCTGGCCTGGTTGCCTTTGAAATGGGGTGAAGTTTTACAAACACACCCTCAGTTGGGCCAAAGCAGACTCAGCCTCTCCAGTGGGCTATTTACATCTTGAAATTCCTCAGCTCATCATTAACCTCTCTGTGACCTTTAAACATGGGCCTGTGGGAGATGAATGGGTTTCGACTTAAGCATCTCTTTGGAGGTGGGTTGGTATTTGTCTCTTTTCCTTTCTCTCCCTCCCCCAGTCTTAGATGTTCTCCTGTAGTGTGTATTAATTGTTACTATGACAAGTAGGTTGAGCAAGAAGTTACTGTTGAGAGGAGCTCTAGGTTTTTCCCCCTTTTAAGCCGAGAAGTTTACTTGGGCAAGAACAACAGTTGGAACGTTTAGAAAACATGCGTATTGGTACATAAAGCCCCTGGCATGGCAGTCTCCTAGGTGCACTTAGTGGAGGTGGTTGTATCGTTTTAGACAGGTCCCATTCAGAGGTAAAATGTGTTCTATGTAAACCTTGGGACTAGATGAGCAGCCAGTATTCTGTAGTAAATGTGTGTGGTTTTAAAAGTAGAGATGGCTTGTTTCCTGGCCATTCTGTTTCCTCCAGTGGAGAATCCTAGTGGTGGGGTGAGTTAGTTTGGCCTTAATAGTTCCAGGAGAGCAGCTTTGTGACCCAGGCAGTTCCCGTGGGACTTAAGCTTTAAAAGTCAGATGGCGTGGCAGTGATGCTAGCACATTCCACCAACTGACCACAAAAAGTGTGTTTTGTTTTGTTTTTGGTAAAGGCCTCTTCTCAGTAGTGTGTGTCAGCATCATGTAGGAGGTCCCTTCTAAGTGTCGTCGACTCTCAGGCATCCAGTCCCGTTTTCCTTCCAGGCCCTCCTGTGGACTCACAAGTGCCCACCAGGTCCCTCCAGGAGTTTGACTTCCTTGGTCTAGGAGGACAGAGGCTGTCCCAGGATGGTGTGTGAGTCAGAGGCTTAACGATAGCAACTTCCTCAGTGTTTTTCCCGACTTAATGGTCAGCCCATGGATGGAGGAGCTTTATTTAGTTCCGTGGGGAACTGGAGAGGTCATCTGGTTGGACCCTGTCACTTCATAGATGGGGAATCAGACTGAAGGATCGGGAGGGAGGGCTCCCCAGGTAATGAGCAGCAGGGCTGAGGCGGAAACCCAGAGCAGCCCCCTATTCAGCATGCCTGTTCCCCATCCTTCCCTCACAGGCTTGTCTCAGCATTTCCCAAGTCAACATAATTGCACTAGTCACTTAGATCCCTAGTTCCATTAGAGGAAAAAACCCCAGCCCTCAAATGCTCTTAGTAAAGTTGCACCTTGAATGTCAAGGATTATCGCCCTGAGGAATTGTGGGTCAGCCTGTGATAAAGCAGCAAAAATCCAGACACCACTTAGCCCTGCAGAGTGACCATTTGGAAATCAACAGGTGGCCTGGTTCTTTTACGAATGGGACAACTGAGGCCTAGAGAGAGGAAGTGACACTTGCTGGTAGTCATATAGCTCAGGGGTCTGCAAACTACAGCTCACCATCTGTTTTTGTATGGCTCACGAGCTAAGAATGGTTTTTACTTTCTTAGATGGTTAAAAAAAATAAAAAAATAGCATTTCATGACATGTGAAAATGATATGAAATTCCAATTTCAGCATTTGTAGTTAAGTTCTACTGGAACATAGCCACGCTCACCCATTTCCATATCATCTGTGGCTGCTCCCACACTACAGCGGCAGAGTTGAATAGTTGCAACAGAAATTGCATGGCTTGCAGGGCTGAAAATATTTACTCCTGGGCCCTTTGTTGAAAAAGTTGGTGACCCATGATTTTGCTGACTGGGAGTGGAGGTGGGACTCGAATCTGGGGCTCTGACTTCCAGCCAGGGTCCGTCCTTGGGGCTTGAGCTGTGATTGAGGTGGGGAGTGTTCTTTTTCTACAACAGCCCAAAGACACTTCAGACTTTGAGGGCCTCACTAGAAGCACCAGATGTGAGGGTTTGCAGAGTGCATTATGAGGACTTACTAGCTGCGAAAGGTAGAAACTGCCTGTTCTCACTCCTGGGAACCTCACAAAGCTGTCTGTGTTGGCTCCACAGTGCTTCACTAAAAAATAGGGTTCAGCCTGTGATAATGAGACTCGGGGTGCTGAACACTTTGGGAACATGAGGTAGTAAAAGCAACAATGTTTTACAAAGATCCCACTGAGGCATTGAGGGTTTTTTTGTTTTTTTTTTAAAGAGATTTTCCATCTGTCCTTATTTTCCTCTGAACACGTTTTACCAGCAGATAACTTTTTCGTGCCCTAATACAAAAAATAGCCCGAGTTATTTTTTTGTATTATTTTCTTTTCCTTGCATTGTTGCTTTTTTGTAAACAAAAAGTCAGTTCACTTCTAAGCCTCTGTGATCACATGAGACCAAAAAACAAAATAAAACCCAGAACACCCAGTCAGCATCTGGCAAGTGGGAAACGAAAAAAAAAAGAGACCAAATTGGTTAATGTTTCATCTTCCCGCTGCCCAAGCCATGTGGTAAAAGGAAAAAAATAATCCTGCAAGATTGAGTGGAATCCTAGCTAGCGAGGGCCCAGGCTAACGGTTTTTGCCCTAGGAATCCCCAGTTTGGGGTGCCTCTCCTGAGCCAGGTGGGACCAGCTGAGCCAGACCTAGGCTTTGCTGGGTGAGAAGATGATGAAAGTGCTGCAGGCCTCACAGAACATGCCTTCCGACTCCTGGACAGGCCTGTCCCTTAACAGGGACAACACCCCGTCGCTGGTAGCAGGAGGCACAGGCCCAGGAAAAATTTTCCGAGTCTGCCTGCCCCAAAAGGCATCGGCTTGTCAAGCTAGCAGCTCAACATTCAAGAAAAAAAACGTGCAAAAGATTTTCCTTTCCCCATCTAACCACTGCAGACAGGGGAAAACAAATAATGCACGCCATATGAAGTACTTAAAACTCCTCACAAAAAAATGAACGCCTTAAAAAAAAACAGTCCAGGCATTGAAAGTCACTCTGTGTGCAGTTTTGGATGTTAGGGAACGGAGGAAGGGAGAGAAAAAAAAGTTAATCTGGGAGCAAATGCTTGAGCCCTTAATTAGAGGGGTGTAAATGGGACAGAGGGAGGATGGCTGGTAACTTGTTAAAACAGAGTTTCCCCAGCTCCAGCGGGAGGAAGGAAGGAAGGAAGGAAGGAAGCAAGAAGGAACAACTTCAAGAATTTTAATGGTTGTAATTAAGTATAGCAGCTATGAATTGTTTAGGGGCTTAATTTAACCTTACCCAAGGAGGCTCCAAGTTGCTACTTGCTCAGTCCCCTGAACTTGGGTTATTTCTGTGGTCAGAGCAATTGCAACTTTTTCAGGTGCCAGGGCTGCCGCAGTCAGCATTTTCCAGAAGAGTTCCAGGGCTGGCTGGCCTGGTCTCGTACGATCATGGGACAGGGTTACAGAGTGGCATCAGAAAGTTGGGAGGGACATGCTGCCCTTTGCAAGCACTTGCGTGCACACACGTGCACACAGATGCATGAGAAAGCAGAAACGGGAGGCACACCCCACAGCCAACTAAGTTTTCTTTCTCTTTCCTCCCGTAGATCTATCTGATTCCACATTGTCTTACACTGAAACGGAGGCCACCAACTCCCTCATCACTGCTCCGGGTGAATTCTCAGGTTGGCATGTTTCTCTTTGCACATTGCTTTTGTGTTGAACTTTACACAGGGGGATAGGTGGGAGTGGTGCTTGATGGAGGCCTTTTTGATATTCCCACTCCTTTTCTTTCCCCTTTTCCGCCCACCCCTTAGATGGGAAGACTGCCCATCTCTTCATCACTGGTGTTCTTGGGGTTAAGAATGAGACCTAAAGATGATAACTTAAAATGTATGTTGATCCACACTTTAACCAGTTGTCTCTACCTTGTCTTGTGGAAGTGAGTAAAACCCAGCATAACTCTTCATCTCTCTTTTTAGCCAGGGATCTTGCTCTCCCAGCTGCTGAGAGGCAGCAAATGGATGTGTTTGTATACATTTCTCTTCATGGGTTTTTCCTTATGTCCCCGCTCTGGGGAAGGACCTGTGTGAAGGGTCAGAGAGGGGGAAATGGAGTGGGTGGAACAAGCTTTCAGGAGGGTCTGGTAAGCAGGGAGTTTGCCAGAGGCCAGTGGTTTCCCCTGTCTTTCCTTGAGCAGTGGATGCTGGGCTTGCTTGCAGAGAGAATGCTGGCTTGGAGCTCCCATCCCTTGCAATTAAGAGCTGGCTGTAGGGACATTCCAGAAATACCTAAATCAAGCTTTCCTTAAGAAATAAGAGGTTAGTGGTGACCTGGGGGCATAGAGAGCCAAGAGGGACTCGGGTGCCAAGGTTTGTGGAGCCCTTTGGGAAAATGGCTGGTGGTGTTCTATGAGGACAGCTGGGGCTTGTGGCCTGGCTCTATGCTGCATGGGGTGACAGCCCCTTGTGTTGGAGCTATTTCCAAAGTGAGCATGGTTGGATCTTAGCCTGAAGGCCTCTGTCTGCATCTGAGCTTTCTTTCCTCTACCCCACACCCATGTCATAATAGCAACAACAGTGATCAGGGTTATTAAGTGTTTACTTTGGGCCAAGGCCTGTACTTGAGCCCCTTTACATGTATCGTCTCAGAACAGCAGTAAAGGAACTTCGCCAGGGGCACATAGTAGCAGAGCCACTTATCACTGTACCACTGTTCTGCCTCCTACTTTTCTGCAAGGGCTGAGTGTACCTCTGATAAACTAACTTATTTTGCACAAAATTCTATCATTGCTGCTGTATTCTCCCCATGACTACACGAAGCTGCTTTTCATGGCTGCCTGGCCATTTCCCATTTGCAGAGCCCTTCCTCATCCATTCTCTGTTCCATCATAACCATGGGAGATCACAAGACTACATCTGTTTCAAAGACAGAGAAACTAGAAGCTGGAGCAGGAAGTGACTTGTGTACGGTCACATTCGTGGGGCTCATGGCACAGCTGGTACTGGGGTCTAGGTTTCTGAATCCTACTTGCCTTCTGGTTTCAGGTGGCCCCTCTAATTGGGCCACTTTGTTTTCTTCTCTGCCTTCTGGCCCTACTTGGTTGTAGTGCCTTTTCCTGAAAGACCTAAACCAGATGAACACAAGGAGTTAACATTTTGGATGTTAGGGAGTGGAGGAAGGGAAAGAGAAATCCATTCTTTTTCCTCTGTGACTGGAGATGGAAGCCATATATAATTTTGAAGAAGATTAAAAGTATATCTGAATACATGATTCTGTGTCCCTGCCAACCCTGAGTGTGTTTAATTTTGATGGATCACATTGGCATGAGTTGGATGGATGGGTAATTTTTTGACATCCCCTCACCCACCATCATTAATGGTGGAAACTCCAATGTATGGAGGTGCCTTACAGTTTCTCAGTGTGTTTGCAGGCATAGTCTCTTAATCTCTGTCATCCCAGAGTGGCCCTGGTATGTGGCTCAGGCAGGAAGGAGCAGACTCCAGAGCACCTGCTGGAGGCCCCTCTCCCATCTGATTCCCAGGAGAGAGTGCCCTCTGGAGGCTGGGAGGTCTTTGGAGACTCTCGGGCCATTGTGTTTGGCTGTCTTTGGGGTCCAGTGGGCCCCTTTGGGATTCCCACCCAGTTATCCCAGAGCAGTCTTTGGTCCTGGCCACTGAGAAGGCCCCTGCTGCTCTCTACTGTGGACCAGGACTGTTCGGTTCTCATGAGAAAATTTGCCATCCAGTGCCTTTGGAATTCTAAGGGGAGGAAGTGTGGGATTTCCTATGGGGTGGCGGGGGAGATTGAATGGGGTCTGGTGGGCTTTTGTCTGAGTTCCAGTGGTCCCAGTAAGCCAGTGGCGTTCCCCATTGTGGTCATNTAATGGAACTGGGGAGGAAGTGTGGGATTTCCTATGGGGTGGCGGGGGAGATTGAATGGGGTCTGGTGGGCTTTTGTCTGAGTTCCAGTGGTCCCAGTAAGCCAGTGGCGTTCCCCATTGTGGTCATTCAGTCCCCTTCCAGGGACAACATGCGTCTCCTCCTGCTCCAGGGGTTCACTTTACTGTTCAGTTTTTCCAGTTTACTTGTGCTGTGAGAGTCTGAGGACTAATGAGTTGGCACTGCACTGCCTCCTGGGAGCTCACAGACTTGGGGCTGTGGTGGCTTTCACACTAGAGGACAGGCTCAGGGAGGGAGGCCCTGTAGGGTGGGGAAAAGGCCCAGAGGGTGACAGTCTCTGGGTGATGAGGGCAGGAGTCATCCTGCAAGGAATGCAGGGTTGGACCCAAGGGCAGGGTGGGAGGCGAGGTCAGAAGGGTGAGGGACAGAATGTGTTGGGCCAGGCCAGGGCGCCTGATGTTCAAGGACAGATAATAATGCTGCTGTTGCTGATGAGAGTTGACATTTATTGACATTCACTACTTTGCACTTTGCTAACTGCTGGTCATTCTCCATCTCACTGACTGTTTATCACAACCCAGGGACACAGATGTGATTCTCCCTATTTTATAGGTGAGGAAACTGAGGCTCATTGCTGGACCAGCTGCCCAACTTCACAAATTGTAAGCGGTAGGCTTGGGGTGGGAGGCCTGAGCAGTGTGACTGCTATCCCATCCAGAGGGCCCTGCCTAGCATTCCTCATGCAAGGGTTCCCATCCCCTACTGGGAGACACACCCTGGCGGGCAATATAGAATGATCCAGAGGAGCCTGTGGGCAGCCCGTCCCAATTTAAGCACCAAGGATAGGGGTGAGGGGCTGGCTAGAGGCACTGGGCTCTGTGCCTCTTCCATGTCACCACCAGGGAAACCTTGCAGACCACCCAGAGAGCATACCAACGAGCTGCCTCAGCCCCCTCAGCTGCCCTAGCCCCCTCTGTCTCCCTTCTGCTGAGAGTCTGCCCCTTCTCAGTGCCTTGGGATGTATGTCCTGCCGGAGCAGGGTGTCTGCAGCCCCACGACGGAGCTGCCCTTGTTTGTCTTGCACAATGACAATCCCAGCACCCGGTCTGGGGCTGTCTATTTTTATCCAGTCCAAGGTCTCTGCTTCACTTTCCCGTCCTGTTGTTGAGGCCACTTTAGAAGGAATGGTGGGAATTTTGAGGCTCAGTCACAGCCAGGCAGGCGTGAACGCATCAGTGGGGGGTGGGCAGGATAGGGGCTGGCAAACAGGAGACTGTCTTGTTTCAGTCTCTGCTGAGTGGCTGACATAACATTCTCATCTGATATCTACATCACCTCCAAATTTAGCTCCTAGAGCCAAGCTTGACACTCTGGGTTCCTTGCCTAACACAGGGCCTGGGGCCTTTCCCCCCTAACTGTCTAAAGCCCCCTCAGGCCATCCTCTTTCTCTCTGCAAAATCTCCACCCCTGTCCTATTTCCTTGATTTCAGTTTAGTTCTGGGAGGAGAGCAAAATTAGCTAGTTAAATTCATACTGAGGTGTAAGTAACTGGTAGACAACCCTTGTCCATTTAAAGGCAGAATATGCCATAATTCAAAGAATTGCAGGATGAAGGGCCGCATGGGAATGGCCATTCTGAGGAAGACAGGGTTCTCTCAGCTCTTCAGTACTCTAGGCTGGAGGAACAGAATGGCAGAACACAAGGAGCTTTGTGCTCCGTGATACAAGGAACAGCCAGGCCAGGCTTGGTGCTGGGTGCTAAGTGGGTTCTGGGTCCTTTAATGGGAGCCTGAAGTGGTGGGGCTGCTGTAGAAGCCACGCCTGCCTGACTCTACACGTAGGGAGGCTGTGGGGGGGTGGTGCAGCACTGAGCAGACTTCTTTAGGAACCAGGGGCTTCTTTCTGGTATCCTATTCTAGTGCCTATTGGATAACAAACAGTTCAAGCGCCTTATGAAGCACCCGCTGTGTGCAAACCATGTTGTAAGCTGCCTGTCATGGGGACCGGGCTGTCCCTTTTGCTAACCTAGGATGTCTGTACCAATTTTTCAGTCCTTGGAGCATGCTGGTTTCTTTAGAGCTGCATCAGCAAGGGTGAGTCCCTCATTTTAAAGAGGAGAAGGCCTAGGGAAGGAAGGGAGGTATGCAGGACCACGTGGAAAGTTGGGGTCTCAGCTGGATTTTCTCCACCAGTCAGACTGTAAGTTCCTTGAGGGCACAGATGCTTCTCTAGTGCTCTTGCATTTTGTAGATTGACAGAGTTTGGGAACAGAGGCTCAGAGAGGGTAGGAGAGTGGCAGAGGGCCACACAGCAAGCATTAGCAAGTAGAGCCAGTTTATTACCTAAGTGACTCCATGCTGCCCACCCACCTGCCAGCTTTCCCCCCAGTGGTCCCTGAATAGATACCTTTTGGGGTTGATGCCATTTAATGTTCATCTTCAGTGCCTACCAAAGCTGGGAGAGGAGTGTGTTGATACCGTATTGTCTCCTGCTGCTTCCTGATTCTAGGGCCCAAGCATGCTCTCAGATGCCCTCATCTAACAGATCTTTGAGGTCCTCGCTCTCCAAAGTGCTCAGTCCAGGTCAGTGTGTGCTGAGCCTCTATAACAAGGTGGACTGAATAGCATTGGACTGTGCACCAGAGGACCCTGGGTTTAAGTCCCAGCTGTGCCTTTTCTTAGTTGTAGGACTTTGGGGCAGCCAGGCCCTGTGCTTAGGTCTGGGGGCACAGAGATAAAAATTATATCATCTCAGCCTTCAAGAAACAGACAGGTAAAGACACA